GATTCTTCTGTGTTGACCAATTCTGAACAGCGGCAACTTTGGATGGATCAACCTCGATACCTGCCTGAGTGATAACATGGCCAAGAAAAGCTACTCGCTGGAGCCAGAATTTGCATTTAGAGAATTTAGCATATAACTTTTCACGTCTAAGGGTCTCAAGAACAACCCTCAGATGCTCTCCGTGCTCCTTCTGGCTCTTGGAGTAGATTAGAATATCATCAATGAAAACAATAACAAACTGAACGAGGTAAGAATGGAATGTACGGTTCATCAGGTCCATAAATACTGTTGGAGCATTGCTGAGGCCAAATGGCATAACTACGAACTCGTAATGACCGTACCGGGTACGAAAAGCGGTCTTTGCAATGTCTGACTCCTTAATCTTCAACTGATGGTAACTTGATCGTAGATCAATCTTTGAAAATACACAGGCTCCCCTCAGCTGGTCGAACAAGTCGTCAATTCTGGAAAGCGGATATTTGTTCTTGATAGTTAACCGATTGAGATCCCAGTAATCAATACACATTCACATAGAACCGTCCTTCTTTTTGACGAAAAGAACGGGTGCTCCCCATGGTGAAACACTCGGCCGAATAAAACCGAGTTTCAATAACTCCTGAATTTGAGTCTTTTGCTCTTGAAATTCTTTTGGCGCCATTCGGTAAGGTGCTTTGGATACTGGTCCGGCTCCTGGAATAAGATCAATAGAGAACTCTACCTGCCGGTTAGGTGGTCCTCCTAGAAGTTGGTCCGGAAACACATCCACAAACTCACAAACAATAGGAACGTCGTGAGGTGTCTGTGCTTTCGGTTCATCGCTGACAAGGCTCACAAGATAACCCTGGCAATCACCTCGTCGTAACATCTTTTTGGCTTTCTCCATGGAAATAACATGAGTTAAAGAATGAGTCTTGGTTCCAAAAAAAGTAATGTGATCGTCTCTCGGAAGATAAAGAGTAATCTCCCGGTCATGGCATCGAATATCTGCATGGAAATATGTTAGCCAATCCATACCGAGAATGATGGGTCTCTCCTCAGATTTGGAGCGAATCAATGAGAACCAGCTCAGATCTAAAGTGAACCGATAAGAATGAGCTCAGATCTGCCTTGATCGCCTTCGAACCGTTGCTGAACCGCGAGAACACCTGCAAGAACTCAACGCTAGATGGGTTTCCGGCATAGAGCCTCCGACGCTCAAGTCAGTATGTGAAAGAGATGAAGAGAGCTGCTCTCAGGGAGCAGCAGCAGTAATGGAGGGGAATTTGGAATAAATGGGAGTTAGGGTTTTGGGGTTACCTCAGCTCCTTCATATATAAGCAAAACATTTACCTGAAGTCCCTAAAATGTCCCGGCCGACTTACTGGAAATGTCCAAAATACCCTGGTCGGTTCGCATTCTGTCCATCTCCTAGTCAGCATCTAGATTCCTTCTTATCCTTAATAGCTTCCTTCTTATCCTTGACAGCTTCCCTATGATATGTTAAACTATACTGGAATCATCGGGGATCTATGAGCCCCAAGACTTCTTAAGTCAACTCGGGATATCAACTCGAGTCGTCTGGGTCATCTTCAATCGTCAGTAGATCCTGACGCGCTTGTCCATCTTCCCAGAGGGAGTCGACTTATGCTAGTCGACACGTGGAAGTCGACTGAGAGAGGCGCCTGGGCCCTTGACCGGAGGTATTATAAGGAGTCTGCAGAAAGAGTCGACTTTGGATAAGTCGACTCGGTAATCTCTGAACCGTGATAGTATGAACCGTTATACGATAGTATGGATATATCATCTAGCTCCCCCCCCTCCCACCCCCAAAAAAAAGTACTTGAAGCGATTCTGAGCTTACGAGTAAGTTTTGACGACTGAGAATTTTGCTTGGATCTTCTCATACCTTACCACTTGGTGTTGTCCTAAGTCGTGTCCCTTCGTAGGACATCTTTTTCTTAGTCGATTTTCTTGGTTCCAGTCGTGTCCCTCTATTATCACGACTTGCAAATAGCTTGTCTACTTTATAAATCCCGTATTGATTGGATAAGTTTGAATCTTTTCAAATTTCAAAATTCAAAAAGGGTCTTGAAGGCTGATAAGACGCTTTCTCTCTCCACCGCTTCTTATTCTGTGACCCATCTCAGTCGTTGGATTTGACTTTAATCTGAAGGCTAGGGTTTCTCTGCCCCCTCTATAAATACTTTTCTCCTTTCATTGTCTTCACTTTTCACACTCAGAATTCTCGAGCTCTCTGCTTCTCCGGCAAATAATGCATCGCAAGCTCTCCGGCGCTCATTTCATTCTCCGACGTTCTTCTCTTATCAGGACTTCCTCGTCAGTCACCATGTGTAAGTCTTTTTTGCTTTCCGATTCAGTACTGTGTACGATTTTTTTTCTCTCTTTTTTTTCTTTTCTGGGTAATATGCTTGGGGCTTGCATGTTCATCAGATTTTCTGGAAATATTTGGATGAGTTTTCTGGCAGTTTTTCCTTATTAGATCTTTAGTTGTAGATTTCTCATTTCTCCAAGTGTTTTCGTTCAGCAGCCGATTTGATATGAAAAATCAATTCTTCTGCTTCTCGTTGGTTATCCTTGATTTGACATCCTTGTATCGAATCGAGTGAAGCAGAAATGACCTACGAATTATTCTCGATCCTCCTTTTCTTTTATTCTTATGTCGAGTCGATTTACACGTTTTTCTCATTCCTTCAACGATTCTTATTCTTGGAGTCGAACCGCAGTTATGATTATCTTCGTCTATTGATTGTCGTTTTCTCTTTTTTCCTTTCTCCCTTTTTTAGATTCCGACTCCTCCCCTGTTTTCAGCTCTCTTGCCCGTGAAATCGATGAATACTCGGGTTCTGACTCTGTTCAAATAATCGATGTTAGACCGAGTGCTAATCAAAATGTCGAGCCAGAGGGCTCTGTTAACTCCAATTCCTCACCCTTCGGCATCGATTGGGACGTGTACAATCGCCTCGACTTAATCCCTCGAGGTATTCTCACTAGGCTTTTTAGACATCCCTATGTATAGAACAAGCCTTGTTCATTCGCTAATAATAGCTTCTTCAGTCGAGCCTATAACTGTAATATGTTCCGTATCAAAGTTAGCTGTTTTTAACACCATTTTCTTATGCTCCTGCAGCCGAAATAGATGGCTTCAGAGAGTACAGGTCTTCCCTCTGATTGGGGATTGGTCGCTCCTATGATAGATGACGACTTCACGCGTCCTCCCCACGGCTGTTTTACCTTTTTTGTGGATCAAATAATGTCGGGATTGCACTTCCCGATTCAACCTGAGTTGCTGTTGTGAGTAACCTCTATGATATACCAATAAATCAGTTCACCCCCAACTCCATTCGAATAATGGTGGCCTTCATAGTTGTCACCCGCATAGTTTTAAGTAATTTCATGCCCGAGTTTTTCCTTTACTGCTACGGGTATAGGTTTAGCAAAGACGCCCATTGTCTGGGTCGTCGCGTAGGTGTGTTCTTCCTTGATGACCTTTCTTCCAACATCACCGAATGGAAGAACAAGTATTTCTTCATTCGACCTGCTCCTGGTCAATATCCTTTCTCAAACGAGTGGATTACTAGCAAAACCCAGCAACGCAAGCGCCCCGACTCCTCAAAGTTTGTGGATATATTGGAAGAGTTGAATAAACATGTGTGGATCGCTCGTCAATTGACTAAAGATAGATCTTTGTTTAACCACGTTGGCATCTGTGCCGACAAGAGTATTCCTCGACTCAATGACCCTTGTAAGCTTCTCTGTTTATATCAGTTTTTGTCTTGACTTATTATCGATCATTTGGCCACGTGTGTTTTTGTGTTTGTGTGGCTCGTATGTTTGTTTTTTTTGTGTATTGATCATCTTTTTATGTCGACAGTGAAAGCTCTGGCTCACTTCGAAAAGAAGAAGGCCGAGGCGGCCAACAAGCCAGCTGCTCGCCCTATCCCTCCCTAGGGGTCTGAGGGAGGCTCGGGCTCTGCTACTCTAACTGCGGCAGTCGAGATGACTGCCGCTAAGAAGTCTAAAGTGGTGCTCCCCTCGGCTTCTAAGTCGATTCAGCCGTCGGGTTCCCTCTCCCGCAAGAGGCCCCAAGATTAGAGGGACGCAACCTTGGTGTCAGACTCCTCGAAGCGCAAAATAGGAAGGAGCCGGCCGCTGAGAAAGATGTGGGGCAGTCGTCCCCCGTGAGGGTGCAACCTGTAACCCTACAACAACCCTCTCGGCATTACGATAACCCTGATCCTCTTCAAGTTCTTAACTACCTCCAATCGGCGCTTCCTGAGGACGATCGAGCTCGTACCGACGGTAATCCCTACGATCGGGCCCGCTATGCTGCTCGGCTCATTCCTCGGGTGAGTTTAATCTCCTTTTTT